GCTTTGGGAACAATATCAAGAAATTTCACACGGTACTATAAGCAGTTGCAGATCTCAGAAATCTCACCATCAGGGCTACAAAAATGACAATATTAGGAACAGTGTCAATATTTAACAGATACTTAGGTTTTTGGTTAAAACATGTATCTGTTACATAATACCGGTGAATTTTTAAAATAATTTTGATTGTGCCTAGTGTTTTCTAACAACAATTTGCTGTCAAGTCAGTTCTGACTTATGTAGACCCTTCTAATACTTTTAGTAGACCAAATAAATCACGAGCAAACACTAACTTTCAGCCTATACAGGGCTTTATCAGGTTGGGCACCAATTCGTTATGGATGGTGTAGAAAAAGCAAACAAACAAACAAGCTATTTTCTTTGGACTGTAAGTGCCCTTAGTTTTAGTGACACTTTTAAAGTAATTCTATGTAGGGACAGATGACAGATATGCTAGATGCCAAGATCTATTTAGCTCTGATGGGTTGTTATAATAAGCCTTGTTCGCAAATATTCTGCTAAAATCCAGTAGTTGTTTCATAACTAACTTTAACGTTGGCTGGTTTAGCCAAGAGAGCACGGACAGAGTTCTGACTACTGTCCTCTGAATATGCCGACCACAGAGACTGGCTAAACGTTAGGAGAAAAACCTTAAGAACATGGCCAAACAGCCGGGAAAACCCACAACAACTATCGGATCCCAGCCATGAAAGCCTTCGAGAATACAATAAAACCAGCCAATTACTTCTATGTGGCAAAACAATAACTTTTTAATAGCAAGGACAAGGATTATGCAGCTTCAAATGGGAGAAACAAAGCGTGCTGCTTTGGGGAGCTCTCTCCCTAGAACTGGTGAAATGGGTTATGATTTCCAGGACAGTTTACAGACCCATCTCTTCCCCAGGAGGATCCTGTGTAAAGTGAATTGTGCTTTGGAGCTTCAGGATTCGAACATCTGGAACATTCTATAAAATAAAGACATCTGGAAAACATGTCTGCAGCTGCAAACAAGAACCAAATGCTATCCAATGGAAATGTGGGAGGTCTCAAAAATAGATTTCTCACTGAGAAAGCATTTTAAACATTTAGCATTTCCAGGAGCATGCTTATCCTGCGGTGAAACAGGGTAGGATGCCAGGCCCTACAGACCTCCAGGCAAGGTAGTGGCACAGGTATGTGTGTGTTTGCTTAGGCGTTTGATGTGGAACAACATAAAGAATTAAAAAGCAAAGCAAAATCACACTACATGTACACACAGGCAAGCCAACCAAACCCTGTCACGTTCAAATACTAAGGTATTTGATAGCAATTTATACCCTTTGCCTGCATATAAAGCATTTTTCCTATTATCTAGTGAGGTTTAGCAACTGCTTGTTAAAAGGTTTTTACAGCGCTTTACATTTCATTGCCTACCTAAAATTAAGCAACTAGATTATAGTAAATTGTGATCTAATAAATTATTTTGCATACCTCTGTATGGAAAGCCCTTCATACTAATTCCAGATTTGTACAGATAAGGATTGGCCATTTGGGTGCAGAGATAATAATCATTATTACCTCCCATTTTCCAGGGCTGAAGACTGACAGATACGGTGGAACTAAAAAACCCTTTATGATGACTTTGTAAGGCCATTTTATAATCGACATTGCTCTCATATTGAAAACATTTTAAATATGCAATGATATACAACCCTGTATATGTATTTATTTATTACATTTATACCCTGCCTATCTGGGTATGCAATAATATACAACCCTGTATACAGATCCATTCCCTTGTATGTATGTACTGTATGTGCAGGCACATAACTTTTCCCCATGTTTCTTCCTACACAGAAGAATCCATTCAGATCCATTCCCTTGTATGTACTGTATGTACTGTATGTGCAGGCACTTAGCTTTTCCCCATGTTTCTTCCTACACAGAAGCATTAAATGTAGCATAGATAGAAGACAGCCTTATGATTAATTAGTGTTCAGTCATGCATTACTATATGATAGGATTTAGGCCATAATCCTAAAACATCCACTTGGGAGAAAGTTTGTTGATTAGGGTGGCACTGATTTCTGAGTAAACATAAAAATCAGGCTAGATAAACTTCCTATTTTCATCTTTCCTGAACTCCCAATTGAAGCTCAAAAAGTGATCAAGGTTCTCTTTCTTCGCTGGAATCTGACAATGATGATATTTTTATTATTTAAATATTCTGACAATCATTCTTCATAAAAGCTTTCAAAAACAAGTAGTTTAAAAATTCAATAAAAGACTGCATCTCCCTCTATGAGCCTGCCCAGGGGTTAAGATAATCAGAGGAGACCCTTTCTCTTGGTCCCGCCACCCTCACAGGTGCATTTGTTTGGTGGGGACACAGGAGAGGGCCTTCTCTATTGCTGCTTCCAGACTCTGGAACTCCCTCCCAAGGGGAAGCCAGGCTGGCCCCTTCTTTGCTGTCCTTCCGCAAGCAAAGACCTTTTTTCTTCAGTCAGGCTTTCCCTTAATAACTGGTGGCCTGAGAAGGGTTTTTAAATGGATTGTTGTGCTCTGTTGTTTCAAATGGGTTTTAATATTGTTTTTATTACTGTTTTTAGTGTAATACTTGTTTAATTCTTTTTAAATATTTGTATACCTAATATTTTTAGCTTTTAAATAAGGTCTTTTTAATGAGGCAAGCCGCCTTGGGTTCTTTTTATGGAGAAAGGTGGAATAAAAATATTAAAAATAAATAATAATTTCAGGAAGTCAACTCAAAGACTATGGGAAAAAGACAGGAGGTGGCCATACAAATTTATCAGGGGAGGGTATTCTAACACAGGGGCTGCCAAAGAAAAGGTCTTGCTTCTTCTGGTAGCCAATCTGGTTTCCACGTGAGACAGACTTTGAAGCAAGACCTCATCTGAACAGCCAGAAAGTCTCGCGCTGAACGAGTAATTTCTCAAAGTGATCGGAATTTTGAAAAAGGAATGAGTCATTTCTCAAAGTGATATTATTTAGGACGCTAAGGGTCTGAAACAACTACATGTGCAATTCCAACAGTGCTTTCAGCATGTCTCTAGTCTGATTCTTATAGATAGAACGTTCTTATGCCAAGGAGCCCCTTTAGCGAAAAAGGAAAAATGCCATTTCTTGAGACTTCCAGGAATAACAGCAAGTCTGTTATGATAAGAGCCAATGAGAGGGTGTGTGTGTGCAAAGGCACTTGCAGGATAAATAGGGCCTTTAGACTGCATTTTGCCCACTGTTGTGAGGAAACTGAGGTTCCACAGATATTGCTAGCACTCCTATCATTCACAGCTAGCACAGTCAACGGTCAGCGTAATAGCGTTCACAGCCCAGTAACATTTGCACAGCCACAGGTGTCCATTCTTGCATTAAATAGTGCCCACAGATCATGGCAGCATTCCCTCCAGAGGTTTCCCCCTTTTCAGATGGGGATGCCACATGCCAGCTCTCTGTTTATTAAGGGTAGTATAAAATAAAGAAGCCCAGCAAGCTTGGAACAAGGGTCTCTCCAGCCCAGCACTCCATTCCCAATGGTGGTAAGCCAAAGGCTTCCAAGAAACCCACAGCAAGCCAAGAAAGGAAATGCCCCCTACTCTGTCCTTTGATTGAGATAACAGTAGCTCTGACAGGGGTGGGATTTTATCTGCCATCACACACAGCCTATTTTCATTTTTCCTCAACACCCAATTGAAGCTCAAAAAGGGATAGGGTGGACTGGGCAATTTCCACAGCCAGGTAGCGTGTGGGGGGAGGAAATGAACCCCACCCCACACAGACTACTGAGGCAAACACCAGCCTAGACTCAGAAAGCCCTGAGGAGGGGGGCGGGGAAGTAGTTTCAGCTGGAAACGCCAAGGCAGGATGATGGAGAGCTCTGTTCCTCATTTTGCGCACGATTTATATATCGACCGGCTGCACAGAAATTGGCAGCGTTCAGGCTATAGACCATAACGTTCGGTGGCCACCCAACACCCTTACAGCTCTTTTCCACCCCCGCCTCCTTCCTCTGAATCGGCTATTATCAGGAGTGGCTGCTTCCCCCCCCCCCGGGTCTAGGGCTCCAGGAGGAGGGGATCTCTCCTCTCGTGCTTATTACTGCCTAATTGAAAACAAACAAACGGACCTTTGTGCCGTGCCTTTTGGAAGTCCTCTTTCCTACGAAAGAGCCTGAAATGTTTGTGTTTTTCTTTTTTCTGCTTTCCCCCTATAACGAAGGTGCTTCTTCTGTGCCTCATCCCTCCCCAAAAACCTTTAGTTTAGTGGGAAAGCGGGTGGGGTGGGGGGGAGAAGAAGCCGCCTGCCTCCCTTCCCTCGCCGAAGCATCCACTCCAAATGCCAGGCGCGGGGCAAGGACGGGCGCAGAAGCCACACACGCGCGCGCCCGAGGACCGGCGGAGTGAACTGAGGAGGATTAGGAAGGCAGGAAGGCAGGCGGGCGGGCGGCTCTGAGGGACACGGTTTATCCTCACGCTCTGCTCAAACCCCCCACCCACCCCCTCGCCCGGGAGAGCGCTGTGCCTTCCAACATGGTGGTGGAGGTGGGCATGCCGAAGCCCGAGCACGCACGCACGCGCTTGTTTGCTCCAGCCGAGGCTGCGGCTCCTTTGTGTCTCTGCCTTTCCAGGGGCGACCAGCTTCCAGCCTATGCGACGAGGCACACGCCGCGACACGGGGGGGGCGGGGTGGTGGTGTTGAGGGATGAGCTCTCCCCGTCTCCTCTCGGCCGTTCACACAGCACACCAATGGGACTACGGACTCTTCTCTCTTTCCCCCCCCCCCCTTCTCTCCTGCTGTGCATCTTACTCCAAGTCGCGCACGCGCACCCCACCCACTCTGGGCTGCAGCTGGTTCCCAACCAACCCTCTCTCCTAAGCACCACCGCCTTCGCCCTCGCCGGGGCAATTACCTGTCTGCAAGCTCCGCCCCTGGCTGATTGACGGCCTGGGTCACGTGGGAGCAGGAGGGGGGCAGGAGGAGGAGGAGGAGGAAGGGACGAGAACGGCGGGGCGGGCGCTTGCACCTGGAGCTGGAGGGGGAAAAAAAAAGGAAAACCAGACGGGGATGCGCTCGGCTGGGGTCGCCGCCGATTGGTTTTCCGCCGCTGCCGCCGCCGCCGCCGCTGCTGCTGCCAGAGGCCGACCTCCTCCGTCCCAGAGCCCGGTGGTGAGGCCATGGTGGCCGCTGCCCCTGCTGCCGCCGCGGCCATGAGGAAGAGCTTCCTGGTGCCCGAGATCAAGCCTTTAGACCAGTATGACTTCTCTCGGGCGCGCAGCGCTGCCAGCCTGGCCTGGGTGCTGGCCAAGGGCTACGGGGGTGCAGGTACGGCGGAGAGCGGGAGCTGGGACGGTCCTGCGGGGCGAGGAGTCCTCCTTTTCCCTTCCTGATCCGTGTTAGCGGAGGGGCGGGAGCATCGGTGGCCGGGAGGAAGGAGAGGCGAGGCAGTGATTTTTCCCCCTTTTGGGGCGCTGTTGCCATCCGAGCCGTCCCTCTCCGGCGGCCGAAAGGCTCCCTGTGGGCTTTGCTTCGGAGCCGCATTCTCGCTTCTCGCCTCTTTGCTCCCCCTCCCGCCCCGGCTTCCCCGTCCTCGCTAGGGAGCCCCCGGGAGCAGGAAGGGTCGCCTCTCCTCTCCCGCTGGCGTCCGGGGCTAAGGGATGATGCCCTACCTGCTCGTCTGCGGGGGAGGCAGGGATGGGCAGCTCTCCCGCCCCTTCCATCTCCCCCTTTCAGCGCTAACAATGGGCTCGGCTCAGGCGCCGCCGCCGCCACCACCTCCTCCTCCTCCTCCTCTCCCACCAGATAGCCCGGGTGGGGCTGGCAGAGCCACCGTCTTTGCATCTTTTCTTTTTTTGGGTGGTGGTGGTGGGGGAAGAGGGTGCCTCCTGGTACCTTCCCCAGGCAGGTGCTCGGTTGGCTTTCCCCGATGGGCGTCACTGGGAGCAGGAGAGTGGGATAGTGAGGGTCCCTTTTTGCTAGGGAAAAAAACGGGTGGCTGGGATGGGAGGGAGGGAGGGGGGCTCCTGGTACTGCCATGATAATGTGGGAGGGGCTCATTCTGCCCTGTCTGCTGCAGCGCTTTTCTTACGTCTGCCCTGTGGAAATCTCATTCTGTTGCCCCACCCCCACCCTAACCCCCTTTCCCTCTTCCATAACCCCAATTCCTCTCCTGCTTCGTATTGCCTTTTGTTAAGGTCTCAGACTCTGCATGATGAGCAGGGTGTTAGATGAGATCGGAGGTTTTTAACACACACATTTTGCTGGTCAACCTGAGGTCCGCCAAGCGGGAGGGGGATCGTCCCTGCCCCACCCTAGCTAGCAGCCTTGGCAGGTGCTGGGGGACAAGAGCCAGCACTGATGTGTTTACCTTTGTTCGGTGCCATTACAGTATTGCTCATGGTAAATTCCTTGATGGGAAGCAGGAGGGTTGGGTACGAGCAAGCCCCCTGCTGTGTAGCTCCATTTCCTTGTTTCTGGCTCCTCAGAAATGAAAGAGAGATGGCATCTCTGGGGCAGATTGCCACTGCCTGGAATGCCCTGCAAATGCTCATCCCCTTGGTGTTACCTTGGTACAGGGCAGCTACGTGGGTGCAACTGGAAGGTCATTCTGCATCCTTTGCTTGGTTCTCTTCAGCTTCCTGACAGTGCCTGCCGGAGGACTTTGCACCTTGGCAACCCTGGGCTCTCGCTGTTCTTCTCTTTGTTTCTGCCAGGCCTGGAATTAATGTCCTGTGAGGATTTGCAGATTGGCTTTGCTTGTATGCATGATGAAGGGAGAGGAGAGGGAGGGGTAGCAGATCCCCCCCCCCGCAATTGACCTTCTTGCTGTTGCTTTGTAAAAGTGGGTGTTTCCTTCCTTGGCTAAGCAACCTCTTGCACCCTCGCATCCCCTTTCCGAGTCATACGTTCTTGAGATTGCTCCTATTCTGTCAGCCTAGTGCAGATTCAGAACGTGGTGGTCTGGGGCTCATTTTAAGGGTGAGTACCCTGCAGGTTGCTCTTACCTAGTGTAGATGAGGTGGAGGGCTGGGTTACTTGTTAAAGCCTTGGCAGTGATGCTAAGAGGGTAAAAAGCTCCAGGTTGATGGCCTGCCTCCAGCCACACTTGAACGGTCAGTTAGGAACAACAGGGCTTCTTCATTCTCTCCCCCTCTCTCACTCATCCTCTCTCTGTGTAACATTCCTCTGAGGCTGCTGACCTGGAAGTAACATAATAGGGTTTGAAGCGAGCCAGAGCCTGAACAGGGGGGTGGTGGCTTTTGAGGTTGTGGGACAATGGACTAGTCTTTCTGCCACCTTCCCAAGCATCTTGCCTCCCAGAGATGAAACTCTCTCTAGGGTAAGGTACAACAACTACTTTTTGAAGCAACCGGAGAAGGGAAAAATCTATGTGTGGTTGAAAATACCATGTGCCTGTGCCATGTACTTATAGACATGTAATTGGATGGCCAGTCCTTTAGTTGGGAGCTAGTGCAAATAGTGTGAGCTGGTCAAACCCAAGCGAGAACAGGTTCCCCCTGTCCCTGCCCTTCCATGTCACTCTGATGACACACATACTGTACACTGTGAGGGAAGGGAGAGCGAGAGAGCCTTGTCATTTGCCTTGGACAGAGGCCAGGGTAATCAGCCTTGTTGAGCCAGTGCTGGGTTCAAAGTCCAGTGAAGCATGGAAAAATCGTGCCTCCCTGGGCCTGTTGTAGCTCATAGCCCCTTCCTGTTTGCAAGGCAGGTCCTACTGAGCACCGTGCCTCCTTGCTCTCTACCAGAAAGTACACATGGCATTTTCAGCAACTGTTCCAGAAGCAAATCCCTGGTCCTTGGTAGGTTCTAAACCAGGAAATGTCGTGGGTTTGGAGTGAGCTAAAGGTACAACGTAGGAACCATTGAGAGTCAACATGAAATGGCAAAACAAACAAACAAACAGAACAGAACTTGTAGAAGTGGTCAAGGGATATCCAGTGTGGTGTAGTGGAGAGAGTGATGGGCTAGGACTCAGTAGGCATGGGTTCAAATCCCTGCTCAACCATGGAAACTCACGAGGGCTGTGGAAGAACGGTTATAATCACTCCTTAAATATTTCGCTTACCTTGAATGCCCTGTTAGGGTTGCTATAAGCCAGGTCTGACTTGACAACACATAACTAACTAGAGATGTCTGACGTTTACACTATTTAATTTCATTGAGTGATTTCAAATTCTAGTGTTTTTAAAAACCCCATTAAATGCTTGCTCATCACCTCATGGTTTTTTTTTACACTGGCTAGAATACTTGAAGCTGGATACAAGCTTGCTTTATGGTTCTGGCTCCTGCCTGCAATTTTTCTTCTATTAGGGACCTTAATTTATTGGGGAATTAAAGTGCAAAGAAGGGGCCTAGAACATCTCGGGAGACAGGTTCCTTCAGCCTGGGCTGTGACTACAGGCCTCAGGATTAATCTTGTTTGTGTGGGTTGGGCCCACTGGGATTACACACCCAGCAATTGGTGCCTTCCTTTTATAACTGGGTCAGGAACCTGCTAACCTCTGACCGTGTTTCCTGGTTGACTTTGTTGTGTGTTGCATATAGCCATGGCAGTTGGTAATTATGTGCATTATGAGAACATTCTAGGGTTAATTCTGTGTATTACCTTTGATCCCCTGTTCACCAAATGGGGGCAGCTCCTACCCTCAAGAATTTGTGCAAAGGGTGGGACAGGAAGTGAGGGATGAGAGGGAGTAACTGGACAAAGGAATAATAATCATGTGCTGTTAAGTGAATTCTGACTTATGGTGGCCCTTTTCAGGGTTTTCTAGATACAGAATAGTCACAAATGGTTTACCTTTCCTTCTGGGGGCGCCCTGGGACTGTGCAGCTTGCCCATGGATGCACGGGTTGCAAAATTGAAGTAGAAACAAAAGCTAGTTGCTTGGCTTGTGATCTCATTATGTGTCACTGAGCCTTTCTTCCCTTTTACCGCTATTTCATTGTTTGATGGAGTCAAAAAGGCAAAGCTTTTTCAATGTTATCTGCTACAGCACCTTAGTGGTAAGGTCTTCTAGTAGAAGCACCAGGAATAAATACTGTAAAGCAGAATCTCAGCCTATTGGACAGCTTGTTGTTCATTCAGTTAGACTGTTCCTTGTCCTGCAACACAGATGTGCAGGACAGCATTATTTCCAATTGGCATTTGAAATCACAAAGAACCAAGTCAAGGCCAGGTAGTTTCCCCCCAAGCCCCAGTACTCTAACGACTGTATCAGACAGAGATGTTGTGCTGTTGGGCAAAACTATCTGGAGCGTGACTGAAATGATAGTCTGCAATTGAAATACGCAAAGCCTAGTAGCAGTACGAAGAGGAGAGAACATTGCATTAGTAGGATAGAAAGGATGTGGATCTAGAGATTTCCACTGTCTTACATCCTGTTCTGCTCCTCTACAAGCATACCCAAGGCTGGGGTTGTCTATTCTTGCTCAGTCCAAGAGCAGAATTCTAACTGGAAGCCAGCTTTCCTGTAAATCTTCACAGAAGACAGTTTGATAATCTGTGTAGCATGTCTTGGTCTCCTCTTTTATGAAGCAGTTGCTGGCATTCCCAGTATAAATTTTGCTGGTTTGGGGATCTGCTGGTGCTTATTTTTGCTGTTTCTGGTCGAACTGTTGCACTCCCTGTCCCTTGGGTTGATTTTTTTGTGCTTTCTTCTTAGTGCAGTGCTGAGTTTAGACTAGGCAAGTTCTGTATTCATTTTTCAGTGATCATGAAAATAAAATGGCAGAATCCATGTGCACTATTTTAAACTTCTTTGGGCCAGAGGGGAAGAATAAGATAAAAATGTCATGTGTCATTTTATTTCCCATTTTTGTACATATTAAATATGCCTTTCTACTTCATCCCTTCTGTATATTTTATATTTTGCAAACCACACAGCATATTTTCCCAAATCTTGTCTAGGCTGTGTTTCCTAGAAGGTAATCTCTAAGATTATCCCATGGTAAGAGGAGTGCTTCTACTTTGTGTCCCACTTCCATTAGAGAAGGCTTTTTTTAAAAGAAAAGAACTAAAACCAGTAACTATTATAATAATACAATATTCTTAGAACTGCAAAGCTTGAAGGGACCCTATGTATCATCAAGTCCAGCTCCTGTCAAGGAGGCACAGAAGGGAATCAAATGCCCAACTTCTGCCTCGGCAGCTGGATACCAAAACCGCTCTGTGCTATCTATAGATAGTTTTTGTAAAAGGCCCCTATTAATCTTGCTTCTCAGTTTTGTAGAATATATTACAGTGTTGAGTTGCATGCAAAAACCAGAGGCCCTGAATGGTGATGCACATCTTCATTAGCATCAAA